GGACAGGGAGGGCTTCACAAAGGGCACAATGTTGAGCTACGTGAGTCCTGGGGGAGTGTGATTATTTATTTCTGGGAGGTTAAACATATTTACAAGATCCCTGAGGTATGCAGTAGCCCCTGGGTTTCCCCAGTTTAGGGGAGTGAGTGTCCACAACTCCATGGGATGTTATGGTGTCAACCTCAAGCAAAGACCAGGTTCAGTGCCTTTCAATATGCTTTTTTGCATCTCTTTTCTTAGTCCTGCCTCCGCACTCCATCCCCACCCCAGGCATGGAGTGGCTTTATGATGACCACATGGATATCCCACCAAGACCTGTGTCTTCAAAGAATGCCCAGTGTGCCAAATGATCCTTTTTGCCCTCTTGAAAAGCCAGTTACTTCGGGGCCATTGATCTCGGCTAGAGGCCATAAAGGAAAACATCTGCTCCACGAAGGTATGAGCAACACATAGCAACCAAATCCTGGCATTTTATTAGTACCCTTGAAAGGTAATGTCATAAATTGCAGGAATGAATTTTTTAAATGTGGCATTTATGGCCATATTGCAGTCATTTGAAAGCATTTTGGGGGTACTCAGAGATTTTCTCATGTCCTTTGAACTCACCTTTATTTAGCCTTTGCGTACACTGCAATCCTATTTCCCTATGTTTACCTTGTGGCAGAATGTCTTTTTTTATTCTCACACATTCCTGGTCCTTGGTGGGTTTTTTTCAGAAGCTTGGTGCATACCATACTTGAGTATAAACCCATTGTAAAAATCCAAGATGGAGCTAGGAATATATGCAGAGATTCCTAAAAGTGTTAAGGGATATCCTAGATGGAACCAAAGCTGCAAATGCATCATGTGCTATATGATATTTTCCTACCCTGATTTAAAATGACATGAGGGATTTATGTTGTCATTGGCCTTAGAGGTTCCCAGTACTTTGGGAGCACTTTTCCTCCTCAACTGAATGGACTTGAGCAGAGAAGAAGATAAGGTGCAGAAGGATCATATTATACTTTCTGGGTGTTTTACAAATAAAAGTTAATCTGAAAAATTTCACCCTTGATCGGTTGTAGGAGCCACAGATAACTCTAGTTTTTCTTCCAAGCAAATGATAGCTTGTACTACCCTCTTTGAGGTGAGATGTGGCCACCTGACTTGCTTGGGCTAATAAAAGAGGAGGGGAAATGACATGTCACTTCTAGAAGAAAGCTTTACGAGCCAGTGCACAGTTTGTCTCTTCTGCCACCTCCTTCTGTAATGATTGTCGAAACACACCTTGAGGCAGAACACCTGTCAGCTGAGACCATGAGTGATGAACAGGGTCCTCTGCAAACCATCTCCCCTGATATCCATTCTCTCTTTCCTTTAGTTAAAGAACCCAGAATTTTAGCTGGGTACATGCCACCCAGAATAAAAACCACATTTCCTGCTCACCCTGCAGCTCAGTGTGGCTATGAAACTAACTTCTAACTAGTGGGTGGTGAAGGAAAATGAAGTTCACCTTTGAGGCCCAGTATATGAAAAGGACGTGTCCTATCTTGCCACTTTCCCTCTTCCCACTGGTTGGAAAGCTGAGGCAATGGGAGGAGTGGGAGCAGCCATTTTGGACAATGGGTTGAAAACTACATGTTGGGGACAGATGAGTAACTACACAGAAGGAACCGGAGTCCTCCACATCATTTAGATCCCGTACCAAGGCTGGAAAACCTACCCAGTCTTGTTTTAGTTTGTCTCTGTGAGAGAGGAATAAACTCCTATCTCATGTTTCTCAAATCTTTGATAGAGCAGCCAAACTTGTATCCCAGGTAACACACCATGATCTGGAAAGATGCCTGGACATTCCTCCATCTTTCCTGTGCTGCTTTCTGTTCCCTTTGGCACATCTTCGTTCTTTTCATTTGCTATGCACCAGCTTCCTCTGTTTTCCAGTCCTTTCAAAGAAAATGTGGCTGCCTCAGAGAAGTACTATGTTTCTTTATGCAACACACATTTATTGAGCATCTATTCCGTGCCGGGAACCATGATAAGCACCAGTGGCAGAACAATAAATAAAATAGATCCTTTGTCGTGCAGCTTACAGACTAGTGGGAATGGAGAGTAGAGGTGGGGATAAACATGAAACAGAGACGGAGAATGATCATCATGACATCTGAGGAAATAAAAGAACTTCATTAAGAATGAAGTAAAGAGACATAATGAGAATGGAAATGTAGATAGGGAAAACAAGGAAGAACTTCTATGTATGTTTGGCATGATACAGACCAGTCATTTCCAGAGTGGGTAAGCCCTACTGGGGTATGGGAAGAAAATGTTAGAACTGTCATCTATATTTTTGTGTCATTCTTTTAAAATCTGTATGTCTTGTGCATTCTTTATAATATATGTAGTTGATTAGTACAGTAGCATTATGGTAGCACATGTTTATCACTTATAAATAATTAGTCAGGGAATGGAGAGCCATCAAAGGGTTTTAAACAGAAAGTAGCACGGTCAAGTTTGCCATTTAGAAAAGTTACTTAGGCTGCCATGTGGAGAGTGGTTTGGAATAAAGCAAGATTACAGTCAGGAAGACCAATCAAAAGGCCGAAGCGGAACATCTGAGAGATTATGAAGGCCTGAACTGGGTCGCGGCTGAGCAGATTAGAGAGATATTTTGGAGACAGAATTGCTAGGACTTGTAACTTATTGAATGTGGGGCTTGGAAAAGAGAGAGGTAAAAAAAATAATGCTGAGAATTCTGCTTTGGGCATCAGGATGAATGGTTGGGCCTGTTACTGCAACTTCAGGCAAGGTAAGGTCTGTAAATTGTCCTTACATTTGGGGACATAAAAAGAGTTTCAGTGTGAGACAATGGGCCAGAATGCAGAGTTTTGGGACCTGAATAAAGGTGAGGAAATAGACACCTATTTTAAGGAACTATTTAAGAAATGTAATTGTGAATGTGATAAGAGACAGGGCGGGGATGATTTTTCTTTCTTTCTTTTTTAATGGAAAAGACTTTATTTTGCCTTATAAGAAATCTGTTCTCTTTCCCTATTCTCCTCTCAAACAATCCTTTCCAAACACACCCCTCTTCTTCATCCTTTTCACCATCCCTGGCCCAACTTCTCTGTTACTTTTAAGAAAATCACTCAGTTTTACTCTGTCAAAAGTTAATCCTAATAATAGAAGACACATATAAAAGTAATGCTGGTGATGCACCTGCAACAAGGAAAAGGAAGTTTCCAGCTAAGATCAGACACAGAAAGGAAACAGGCAGATAAATTCTGAAACCTTTGGAAGTGCCCACAAGTTCCCTTCAAACGCAGCCAGCATTTCTGTCTGCTTCAATTTCTTTTTCAAGTTGGCCCTGAAAATCATTGAAAATCTCCTTCCTTTTTATTATCTTACTTAACGTCACAGCAGTATCTTTGCGTCACTTTTCTTTTCAG